ATCATACCATGTCATTTTCAATCCATCCGCAATAATCTATGAGGTAAATAAGTGACTTTTCCTTATACTTAGAAAATTCACTGATTCTATTTCGAGCATAAAGCTCTCTTAACTTTGGCTATAAAATTATGTAAAAAGTAACAGTCTATTCATGCATACTTGTTGTAACCTCAATTGACTTTATAGTTGAGCGAATAAAGTTTCTACTGAACAAACAATTTCTAAAAATTATACAGCTATAAATTAAATACTGTATAAAATAACACACTCATCAGATTTAGTACGATCTATTATTGGATAGTGATCAAGAAAGTACTGTTTTCCCCAATGTGAGCTTATTCCATAAAGTATTTCCTCTGTATCTTTAACAGGGGGAGGTGAATTGACATAGTCTGGAATAAGAACTTCTGAAATATCTATAGCTCCTATGTCTACAACAGAATTTCATAATTAAATAATACTAACTAATATTATCATACTACTGAATTGTCTGTTTATTTATCTGCATCTATGTCAGAGCCTTTGTGTATCACTGTCAGTATCTTATGATAACATAAAACAAAAATAATAGGCTGTTATGTGGTATACCTTCATCCTTGCTAAGGTCATCAAATGTGTCGAAAGTCTCATCATTTTCGGTATAAACCAACTCAAAGTCTTCCATAGCAGTACAGCTGGTAAGTCAGTGCGTGATTGCGACCTGACTTAGTGCTGGCTGCGCAAGCGGGGGGGTCCAACTACCCTCCAACACCGGTTCTTTTCAGAACTCGTGCCTCGCCGTATTTTGGGACTCTCCACCCATTCTAGTTAGTGTTTATTGACTTGGGCGTGGTTTATTATCACCACCACGCGGACCAGCAACAATTTGCAGCAAAGAGCATAGGCGTATTTGGACCCGGGCAAGCACGGGCTTTGCCCGGGTAGAAATTTGCAGCCATAATTATATTCATTAGTTATTGTATTATACACAGTATTGTAACAGTGGGAGGACTGTTAACCACAATAGGTAGCACTGTTAACCACAATAATTTAGCACACACCTACATGTTCCAAGTGTTTATTTAAGCACCAGGGCAGTTATAGGTCTTAAATTTTAAATGCATTTGCCCAAATTGCCCACAATCGATAGTTAAAGGTATAAATAATTAATTGATTATATGAATAATAATTAATTATATGAATAATTAATTAAGTGCCCTAGTAGCTGGAGAAGGCTAGATACGCCTATGGCAAAGAGGCTGAAAGAGCTCCGAGGTAGCAGTCCGTACAAGAAGTTAACAGATAGAGAAGGACTCGCTATTGGTGAATGGCTCCACTATAGCTGCTAAAGAACAGATGAATAGCTGAACACTAAACACGTGGTCTTAATTGTCATAGCAACGCTCTAACAGTTTCCATGGTTTTTAATTGAATTTTTTATGACCGCGAATAATTGCAGCCGCGAATATATCCCGACCTACTGTATTATTTTTATTGAGCTAGCAATAACTATTGTCATAACCTTCTCTCAACAGTATTTTATTAAACTAATACTAATACAAAAAATAAAAATAGAGCATACATGTAGAGCCATGGATACTGTCTATGCATAAAACTAATAATAATAATAATAATAATAATCTGAAAAATATATTGTGGTCTGTGAATATAGCTAGATCTATAAGTTAAGAATTCACACCTCATTGATTATGCATTTCTAAGACCATGATCTACTTTGTATTTAACATAATCAAGATCATCATATTTTTTGTAGCAATGACAGCATTTCTTTTTACAACAGAACCAAAAGGCTATAATCAATAATACGAGGACACTGAATAAAAACAGAGGAACGAGAGCTCCTGTAATAGTTCTGTCTACAAAAATAGAATTATATAAATTTAATTGAGATTCATTTTACAAGTTTGAAGTAAGCTTTCAAAATGACTGCACTCTGACTCATCCCCAGCGCAATGACTACAATTATCCAAAGCACCATGACTGTCCTCATCCAAAGCACATTGACTTCGAGACCCACTTGTTAAATACTTTGCATAGATATCAAAGCCTATATAAAAATGTATAATTAATACTATAGATAGCTGGTAGTTTTGAGAGGGAAAAGTTTGTGTAAGTAAAACTGCCATTTTCAGTAAATTATTGATGCGATATGTTCTCAATGGCAAGTTGCCAGCCCATCACCAAAAATTTACTCATAAACATTATCAAAATGGTCAATTTAAGAACTATGTAAAATGTATATAGTGTTCAGCAAAATGTTCAAATACTGCAGTCAAAAATTTGTGAAAAAATAATTGGCATTGGCTGGAACTTTAATTATCAGAACTTTAAAAACTAAAAAAAATTTTTGTTAACACAAAAGTATGACCTACTTATAATTTTTGAATGCATAAACCTATGTTTACAGTATACATTGTGATGTATTACGTTTAACGCAACATAAAACCAACCCATGTTTGGTCTTATGTTGTGTGCAATGTAAGTGAAATCATGTATATTGTAAACCTAGCTTAATGCATAAACTGACAATACTTTTAGATAACTCCTATTTTTAGCAATTAGAAAAATGAAAATCGGCACATAATAATCAAAAAGTTGGTGAATGGCTATCAAACTGTCAAATTTACTAAATATTTTCATTGCACTCTTGTTATAAGTAGCACAACTTTATACTATAAGAAATAACACATCATAATATAGCATTTTACTTTCAAGGAGCAAAACTTTCAGTTTTCACAGATTAGCAAGCAATTGCAAAATTAAAGCTCTGCTAAGTATTCAATTTTAGGCGTGGCACTAACGTACATTGCAAATTCGCAAAAGTTGTTTCTGTAAAAAAATTATTTCTATGAATGCACAAAAGGCAAAAATAAAGATTATAAGGTAGCCATAAAATTTAAAGGTTACTTACTGCATGTTACTGCCACATGACTTTGACAGCTACCAATACTATAATTGCTTGATATACAATGAGAAAAACATTGAAAAGAACCAGTTTGTTGAGTACATATGTATTCTGTGACTATAACACTGTCGACTAAATAACTATCAAATGAGTCATACTATACAGCATTATTGCATACAAACTTACACAAGTTCTACTGTAGTCCAAGATTCATGTCCTGTGTATCCATACTGTCTACATATTGAATCAGCTACTGTTTTAGTGAAGTTATTGCTACACACACGATACCAGTGTTTATCAAGATAAACTTCAACTACACCATCAGCTGGTGAATCAGTTTCTGTCTGCTTATGAAGATGTATTTGACCATTGTAAGGATTAGTCTCTTTTATTGTATCATTATCTACAATTATATAGGTATAACACAGCAAAAAATTTGTTTCAAACTACCCTTTGAGTGTTACTGACCTCAGTTCTAGAAGTTTATATTGTTTAGTGAAACTGAGGTAATTACTTGTGAGTGCATTTTTTGCAATGCAGTCACAGTATGATAATTATATTTAAAATTTCGTTAAAAATATCATCCTTTACCACTTCTAGTCATAAAAATATTTTAAACCAGCCTCTTTACTGTTTTTGGCACTATATATAAATTCATTAGATTAGGTATCATGCATGTCTGAGTTTACACTTGAAGTCCATTTATGCTTTGAAGTTCAGTTTGTCCTTATAACTTTTTGTTTCTGCGTAAATGTAACCATAAAACTGGCAATAATAGCACAGTTTTTATTGCTGTGTTGTAAACCTAGCTCAAATCACTCATTCTCAAAAACTCACTACAGATAATTTTCAAAGCATTACAGAATACATAGAATGGATTCCCAAAATAAGTCATGTTACAATGCATAATGTTGGTTTCACCATACAAAAAGTAATTTGAAACTGTTGGGCAAGTAACTATTTGATCAGACCTCATTAGACTAAAAGAGCAAATAGTTAAAATAAAATTGTAAAGTAACTTACAACTGAATTAAACTAGTAGCATTAGTGTATCCTTGTTGTCGACATGCAACATGAGCTGTAGCCATCCTTTCACCATAAAAACAAATATGCTTCCAACGTTCCCCATCATATACCTGTAGCATTGGGTCCACCCTAACATCCCATAGCCGGTCGCCTTCACAATTAACTACAAACATAAATAACAATTACTTTTTAGTAAAATTAATGTATTATTGCAGAGAATAATTGTGGAAAAAAATTACTTGCAGATTTCCTTTTCTGCCTATAACATGTGTCTTTTATTATGTATATGTGAATATAAATTTCTCAGTTACCGAATATAATATAGGAAACAGAATATTAATTTTTTGAAATATGCTAGTTATAGTAACTGGCAATACCCACTGCATTGGTTATAACAAGCGTGGCGAGTCCAATAATTATGTGTCCATCTCAATATATTAGGACTACAATGTATTATATCATTTTCATGTTTTGATTATGTAATTATGTGCATTTGTGGGTGCTTATAGGTTCTCAATATGACTTGTTGCTTTGTGTGCGTTTGCATTACAACCAGAAGCAGCCCGTGTCAGAATGTCATAACAGAAAAATTATGTGCCTATATTATATCAATTATATCCCTGGTTTTAATTACATATGCTTAATATCAGAATGATAGAGTTCATAAGGCCTGGTTTACATGACTTCAAGTAAAACGGATATATTTTTAGTTGAATAAGGGTTTTGTTTGCATATCAAATCCGAACAAAAGAAAATGAATACTGCCAAAACGGATACTTCTATAAATAAAATGATAAAATTAATTCTAATGAAAATGCAGACACCTGAAAACAGTAATAGCAAAACCAAAAACCAATGCAGATTAGGCCAGTGTAGTAGTGTAAACCAGGCCTAACTAGGCATTAATCAACAGCACAGTTTGTAAGAATGCTAAGTGGTTTATCTTATTTTATAGTAACAGTTTATCTAAAACATTTAATTATCTCCCTTAGGGAGGAGATATAGATGAATATAGTCAAACCTGTATTTTTATTGGAAGTTTGGATCCAATAAACTATTATGGAAGTGTCTTTATACCGTATAGCTGGTTTATCAAATTTTCATTGTTTAATTAATTTTCATGGTTTACAAAATTTTTCATAAAATTTAGTAAATTAATTTTAGTGGATATTTGAGCTAGCGAAGGGGTGATGCAAGACTAGATTTGAGCCTACACAAAAATTAATTCTACACGGAATAAACCAGCTAGATATACGGTATTATTTTCTGGAACTAGTCAGGGACTGAGTGCTACTAGAGCTACATGCCCGCATCAATATGGCATAATTGCTATACACTAAGTCTAACCATAGATATCTATGGTCTGACCATTCAACAAAAGCAAAAAGCACAAGGTCTGCTCTGGTATACTCCACTCTAGCTCCTGCGTAGCCAGACCCACCCTTAATGCCTCCGGAATGGGATGGCGGGTCTGGCTACGCGAGACCAGGTCATAAGGAACTTGGCCCACACCAGTATCTATGCCCATACACCCAAACTCACCAGAGGCAACAATAAAGATTATGATGAAGGTCGAGGTGAAAGTTAAAATATTGATGAACATTCTGAGCACAGCGAACCGTGAAGCACTAAGCGATACCATAGATACTAGAAACGGACCTGGATATGAAACAGGATGTGCTTATGCTCTTGGCGCCGGATGTGACGTTTACACATTGGACAGTACCACGTGAAGACATGATGGCTGTTATTGCTGAGGCTCAAACAGTTGAAATGAAGCTTATTTTACTTGAAGTTCAGTCCATGGAAGAGTTTAAAATGGATACTGCCATTAGTAAACGTGTCCTGTCTAATATTACTTTACTGCTGTCGTTACAAGATGACAGGAAGAAGACTTTGGAGGCATTTGCTTCAAGACTTCAGGAAAAGGTAATGTAAATATATAGCAAAACTTTATTATTGTCTACATAGGTCAAAGAAATGATTTTGCCCTCTAATTACACTAAACTTCATCAAAACCTTCATACATTCAGGTCCAATGTTCTACCATTGTGGCTGTCTCAACTGATAGCAGAATCTATACCACAGAGTTGTTGTTCAGATTTTATTCTATGGCAGTGCTTCCTAGACAAGATCTTAGAAAAGGAGCTCTTTATAAGAGAAGTTGATAGGTTACCATCTAAGGCAAGAGTGTTAAGTCATGTCGAACAGAATGCCATAAGGTATGCTGCTGGCTCTGTAATTCGTAAACTTCAGCTGAAGTGGAAGTCTGACCATGATATACAAGAGTGTTTGTGCGTACTATTACAACTAGAAGAAGAGGACTGTAGAGATTCCACTGAACAATGGATAGAAACTACTGACAGAGGAGGATTGTACTACATCACATCAATGATGTGGCATATGAACTGTTCGTTGAGATTGAACTTCTTGTCTACCAGCAATTATCACAAGATCAACAAAAAGGTATACCTGAATTACTTAGGATTGCATGTACAGATCAAGATATTCTGGGTGTATGGGCCACTTGCACAGTAGATATAAATGATGCAACCAAAACCGAAATCCTGCTCAAAGATATCGTAAATGAATGGATCAAGATACGGGGCCACTCTATTGTTAGTATGCTAATGGAAAATTACAAGAAAAAGAAAAGCACTACAAACAAGAAACGGAGTTTACGAACAGAAATGAAACGAACAGAAGAAGGAACTAAAACAAACAAAATAATGAGAATTAGTGATTAAATTATCCATTACTTTAATTAATTCAATAAATTATTATCTTTAACATTTCAATAAATTATTATCATTAAAATAATAGTTATTGCCTTCTAGGCTTTTTTCTCAATGGCTCACTAAGTTCCTGAACATCGTGAAACAGCCTTCTTTTCTGGATGTTGGAACAGGATCCCAGAGATAGTGAACGTGTTGTCCTAATAGCCTGTGTGCTGTACATAAATCTTTGCACAGTTGGGTTGGAATTTGTTGTCATGGTACTTCTTTCAGCTGTACTTATGCTGTCAGTATTTGTACTCTATAAAGTGAATTAAGTGCACTGAAATGTATTATCAACAATTATACCTTGTCTGAGACCACACTTGATTCATCAAGACTACTTGTATTAGAAGAATTCTGCTTCATTGGTCGGCCTTTCTTTTGGAATGTACCAATTCTCTTTTTGCTTCTATGGCCAGGCATTACTACATACAAGTAGACACAGGATCGAGCACAGGATAAGGAAAATTAACCCCTACAATGTATTATAAATAACAAAGACCACACCCCTAAAATACTACGTTAAGTTTTGGATATTTCCAAGACAATAGCATTTGGAAAAATTCTGAAAAAATATACAGTTGATGCAAAAGGTCTAAAGGTACACACTGATGCACAGAAATATACTCCATGACATGCCGGTTTCATGAAAAGGTGTTTACCAAATGTACAAAGAAAAATCCAGAAAAGTGGCTATATTTCACTATACCAACAAGGCACAGACAAATCACAGTATACAGTAGATGTAAAAAGGCAATAGCTATGTTTCTTCCAAGTAACATTTACTAATTCTTTTCAGATGTGGAGAAAAGGCGTTTACAGTTAAAACCAAAAGCCAACACATTTTATAGCATAACACAGAAATACACTAGATAGTTACACAAATAAGTATCTAAGAGGTCATTTGGTCTAACAGAGAGACCATATACTTACTTAAACTCGGCAAAAGACTCTCTTTACAAAGACACAAAAAAGACTTTAAAAGTCACCCCTTTCGGCGAGAAGTAGCAGCTTGTGAATATCATTAATTTTGCAATGAATATCATTATATCTCAGTTACGGTATACGCCCACATACAATAATTGGCCGCCATGTTTTACGTCAAGCAGCAAGTGCTTTCTGTGTCCTGGAGATCTTGGTCACTACATTTTGAAGCTAAAAACTATTCTAGAGTTAAGAATAATGCCAAGAGAGCCAACCTAGGAAGTATAGTGCAATACTCTTGTTGTATGAGCCTGCTTTCCTCTTTCGGCTGTGACAGAGAGTCAAGAACTGATCGTTCTGGCTCTCCCAGACTTCTTAAGTCTTCAAAATATCTTGCTATAGTAAAGAACAGTTGATATGAAGCTTCTCATAGTCCTGAGTTCAGCACAACAAAAGTTTTATTGGCAAAACAGCTCTACTTTGCACATCAGCCATTGGAACTCTGCATAACTTTGACGTAAAACATGGCGGACAAAAATCCGTTCAATATTATTTCTTTGTATATACGGTATCACAAAATAATTCTCGCCTAAAGGGGTCTATACCACCATAACCGCCAAGAGCATGTCCACAATGTTCGTGACGTCATCCATATAAATTCATGTATATTGTACTTCCTGTTTCATATCCAGGTCCGTTTCTAGTATCTATGGTGTGGTCAAAATCTCGGCGCGCTTCGCCATAGATATTAGAGTAAATGAAAGGGATAGGAAACTTCCGTTCCCGGGAAATCAAGCTATTTACCCTAAAAAGCGGAGGAATCCGGATACTAGTATACTCTAGCTGTTATTTTCCATCGCCACAATGGGCGACTAGCCTGACTAGGCCATAATTCGTCCCTTGTAATAGCAAAAGTATGCTTCACAAAGACAAGATAATGGGCGGAAGACCCAGAATAACTCATCTAGATTCTGTATCTGAAGTCTCTTTAGTCATTACTCGTTCAAGCAGTGAGATAATGGTACCCAACTAAACGCGGAAAGTTTACTTGTTTTTGAGCATAAAATGTCGAGAAAACAAGCTTTTGGAATTATTAAAGTTGGAAGACCTAAAGAAAAGAATTTTTAAATAGGGGCTTGCTTTAAATCTTTCATTTATAATATTGCTTTTGAGATAATGGGGACCAAAGAACAAACTAGTACTTTTTTAACTTTTAATCGCTAATAAATGCAATAAAAGAGCGTAAATCTTGCTATTTTTGGCTACAGCATGATAGTGGTATAACAGCTGATTTCTTTGAAGTATCATATGGCACTGCAATCACTACTATGCGAGTGCTATAGGTGAAAATCAGTGCTGCAGAGATGGAGAGAGAGCAAGTCTGGCCAGGGGTAACTAGCTTAAGTTGCTAGGCAACCTAATAATCTCAATGGAATAATCCGCCCACGCAACGGAAGTTTCCTATCCCTTTCATTTACTCTAATATCTATGGCTTCGCGCGCCATTTTATTTCCCCGCCCCTCCATATAGATCTACCCAAAACCCTGGATCCGCCCCTGCTAATGGATTTCTTCCTGTAACTGAGCCATTAGCACGTCTCTGAGAACCTTTTGAGCAATGGGAACGTATTGCCGACGCCTTACCCAGCCTCATTAAAGAACTCAAGCTAAGAGAAAAGGTCCAGGAGCTTCCCCTTATAACAGTCGACGAGGCCTCACTGCCAATCAAGCAGCACTGGCAAAGAGCTTATGTCGTCATTACTTACATTTCTCAAGATTATAGACCTTTCCCTCGATGAATATTCATGAGAATTTATGAGTCATCAACGCATCATATATCATGTGATGAAAACCACGCCTACTAGTGGGACAGAAAAGTGAATCTTGCACCTAAATCAGGGCCGTAGCCAGGACCTTAAAATAGGGGTTCGGGAATTGCTGCGCGCGAAGCGCGCAGCAAAAATTTTGACGAATAATGGGCGTGGTTGGTAGGCGTGGTCGAGATTTACGCATCTCGGCCATGTGCTGACTCAGCTAAAATGGCTATCTGTGCTTCTCGCTGTTGCCAAAATGCTAATCACTGCTTTTGCAGTGCTGTTCTTCATGACAAGGAGGTAATCTAAAACTTTTT